TGTTGTTGTTGTTGTTGCTGTTGTTGTTGTCGTCATTGTTGTTGTTGTCGTCATTGTTGTTGTTGTTGTTGTGGTTGTTGTTGTTGTTGTTGTCGTCGTCGTCATTGTTGTTGTTGTTGTTGTCGTTGTCGTTGTTGTTGTTGTTGTTGTTGTTGTTGGGCACATCACCATGTTCAATAGAAAACAACACACATTTTGGAGTTGGACATGGTTTTTGCTTTTGCAAATTTTGGACATGGCATTGCTTGATTGGATTAGCAAAGGGTACAAAGCACATCATGCGAAATATTGGTCCTGCAATCCATCAATTTCTTGAATAATCATGATATCCTCGGATAGTCTGGGAAAATTTTGGTAAGCCATACACACCTGAGTTGAATCCGTCCACATTTTAAGGTCGATTAATATTAAAGCCAGAGTCAATCAGCCTCAGAAATCAAAAAGAATTGGTTGGTTCATACCATGTCATATCCTCAATTGTGGAAGCCAATGGTTCGATGGTGCTGGATGCATGACCAACATGATGACCACATGGCCCTCCAACAAGCATGGCATGGGAACATACCCCAATTTGCAACTCTGCCACTAGAATCGTACTTGAAGTTCCCTAGTAGGTTTGCAAGGTCATAATCCCTTTTGGATTTTTTCTGGGTTGTGGGGTGTGTGTGTCAAACCCACGGCAACCATTGGTAACCATAGTGAAGGGATGAACTTGGAATGAACTTCCATACCTGCTGATATGATGTCTTGACATGTTTTGATCTGAAAAACCAGGGCACCACATGTCGATCCATAATGTAATTCAACGGTAGGTAATAACCGTCATACCCCTTCCAAAACAAAAACTTGAAGAACAATGCGGTAGACTGAATGATAAACACATGCAATTGTTGACGACAAATTACAGTATATATAAACATGTACAGTATATAAACAATCCCCTAATTGCAGGCTAAAGGAGAAATGTATTTTTAAAAATCATTATATATATATGACTATACAAATGAAACCACCAGTTTGAATGGTTGATTTTGATCTATACCAACATAAATATCAATATGTATATAATATGTATGTTCTACGTCCCATCTAAAGGCCATCGATATTGATCTATATTATATACTCGTTGGTGGTATACCTACCGCTCTGAAAAATATGAGTTCGTCAGTTGGGATGATGAAATTCCCAATATATATATGGAAAAATAATCCAAATGTTCCAAACCACCAACCAGTATATCTATATTGATAGTCTATACAGGTCATGACGCTTCCGCTTCCCTTCGTACCTGGCCCGAGAAGAGCTGCCTCTCCCGCTCCTCAATGGGGCATAGACCCTGAAAATACCCATATCTTAGTGGACACTTGATGAATAAGTTAGACAACAAAATAATATAATCACAGGATAAGTAGATAATACTAGATGATAATAGATTATAGTAGATGGTAATAGAAGATAATAGATGATACACTATTATAATAGATGATAGTAGATGATAATAGATGATACTAGATGATAATATGATACATGAAGTGATGCATAAACTTGTACTATACTAAGCTTGATGGGCTCAAATAACCCAATGATAATGATAAATACAAGGGGTTACCATATTTCATATCATATAATGTTCATAATATATTGAGGCATCCCCGTGTCAAAACTGCGATGCGAATAAATAAAATGATGAAAAAAGCATATGATAAAACATAGGGTTTGGTGGCATACAAGTTTGAGACATACCAGCTTCAAAGTGGATTCCCAAATAGGGTCCGGTAGAGGTCTGTGGGATTTGTTGATGTACTCAAACTCCTATACGTAGAACAATTCCAGACGAGTGTTGCAAATGATACTTGCCCTATAGTTTCGAGGTTTCAATCTGTTCTGCAGTATGACTGGAGACTGCTACATGGGGTTCGGAAACCAAACCTTCCGTAATTAATCATCCAAATGTAGGTCTACGGTGCATAAACGATCTGGAACACAAGTGTTCCTCAAGTTCCTGAACATTCCTGTCATTTGCTCTGCAAACTTATCACATGCTCTTGAAACAGGGACCGCAAATGCCGAGACAGCGAGGCATGTTGACTAAGACGTCTTCCGGTTTTGAAATCTACTGGGAGCCAACCCAAATTGAGATGACACATGATGACACTTATGGATCTAATGGATAAATCCTGCTTGATCATTACACTGATACATCTGATACCCACCAAAACTCACCAAAATCACCAGGACCTCAACCGGAAACGGCGTCCTTCTTGGTCCACTTGGCGCCTGAGACTGCACTGACGAGCCACGGGCTCCAGTGGTACCCCAATGTTGAGCAATAGCCAATCTGCGCTCATCTTCAGGATCTAAAATCTTTAGCTCCTATTCATGTTCAATTCTAACTATGTTTGTTTCAGATGTTTCTAGTTTCCATGGATCCAGAACAACGACCCCTTGAGGCAACACAGCACGCGGGGCACCTAGGACTGAGCTGCTGATGGCTTTCCTTTCGAAGTTGGGCAACTTGGCTTTTTCCATACAGACCTGACGCCGCCAAATCACGACCGAAGCCATGCCAAAGGATAGCGGAATCGCAGGGGCAGAATTGGATAGCACTGCAAAAATAGATGGCATATATGTGTAATATATATATATATACACATGGTCTAATATGTATATGATTGTATATGTATGTATATATATATATAGTCTATGTAAAGAAAATACATAATTTACTATGGATACACTACGATATACTAGTAGATATAGTATCATCAGGACAATATGATACAATATGTTGATATTCCGTCCAATGTTGAAGAAGAAAAAAGGGCAGATCAGGGACATGTTCTATTCCGGTTCCATGTAAGGTCAAGGAATAAAAACTACAAGGTGGTGCCCCATAGTTTACCAAGTTGGTTTTATAACATTTATAAGTATATAATCATTAAAAAAAAACACTATATAGGGTTTATGCTTGATATATTCATACTTTCTGGAATGTATAAACCAACTTACAACTAATGGGGACCACATTTACATATATGAACAAGTACGAGTAGATGTAGTGTGGTAAACTCAATAATGAACCATGCCCAAGATCACCATCTTTATGGGTTGTATGCACCATCCCCAAATGCTAGGTTCATGTTTTTTGGGTTTACCACATTATGATGATTTCTGGATGTACGCATCAACGGAACACCTGACGAAACTCTTTATGTGGAGTCAAAAGTGTCGAACTGTCTTTGATGCTCAAGAACGGAAAGGGCCCTTTTTGTTTGGCAGCCCCAATGACTTTTCTGAAGCACTCTACCGCTATTGAACATGGCCATTCATAGTTGATTTTCCCATGAAAAATGGTGATTTTCATTGATGTTCCATAGTTATATTAGTTTGCCAAAGGGTATATGTTGTAAGAATCCAGTTCAAGAAAAGTGTATAGAAGCAACTTCCCATGATATCCCAAGTTGGAGCCCTCAATCCTCATCCATTCTTGATAGTTGGCATACTATTACCATATGTTTTTGCCATTATATAACCACTATTATAAGCATAGTAACAATATATGACCAGTATTTTTGCCATATGTTCTATCACCCACTCGTAATAGCAAAAATAGTGGTTATAACCACTATTAAACCACTATTAACCACTATTAACCACTATTAGCCACTATTAACCACTATTAACCACTATTAACCACTATGAATAGCAATAGAAGTCTTCACCAGCCGGTGAAGCTCCTTGACTCCGCCTCCAAGAGATCTCTGTGCATCGGAATCCGCTCGTGGCGACGGAGACAACATGTCAGCTTTACCCTGCGGCTGGCTACGGTTGCTGGGGGATTGGTGAAACATATCGTAAACCTAAAATGCTCATGTATCTATATCTATATCTATAAATACATGTATGTATCTGTATATGTATATGTATATATGTATAGATATATATATATATATATTAAATATATATATACATATAAATGGATATTGTATATTATTATATAACGGTGTACAGAACTTCAATATTGTGGAAGTGCAGAACATACCTGTTCAGACTAAGTCTATGCTTAAAAAAACAAACGAGCTTCACAAAATCCACTGGGCGAAGACTGCATCACCATGGCTCCCCCAACTGTCGGATGCCCATTCCCCTCATCGAAGTTTGGATTGATTACTCCAAAACTATCCCAAACTGACAATACCACCCATCATTAATGTCATTAATTTAGTCGACAGGCCACTCTTTAAATGGCAGTGTGTCAAAACCAATAGTACCCCTGTAGTTCACATCAAAATAGCTGGGATTTATGGATGTTCATCCTCCTAAAAATGGTATTTTCATAGGTATCGATCCATAGCCAAATACTAAGCACTATTAACCACTATGCTATCAACAGCACCACTATTAATAGCGAAAATAGCGGTTTCATCCTCGTATCACTGCTGGGACCGCTATGGGCCGCTGGGGACTCCAGACCAAAGGCTTTTGCCCTTCAGCCGTGCTGACATGTCCTGGTGTCGGACTGACTCCAGGTCTCTTTTTGGCAATCATGGGCTGACAACGGCCATTGGTTGTAACTCCCATTATATATGTATATATGTTATATATATATATATATAAATATGTATAATTATATATATATATATGTATATGCCAAGAACTACATGTTTAAGCTATAAACTCTTTAATAAGAATCAATCACATTACTAGCACTATATTATATACATGATATATCATGATATATGATATTGCATGCCCAGTCGATATGATCTGTGGGTGCAAAAACTGCCATTTAAATAAGACTAGTTGATGAGAACATGTAACTTGGGATCACTCACTATGGCAACTATTTTCGGACACACCCATATCAAAGGAATCATAATTCACAATTCAACATTTACCATCATCTACCGACCAAAGTGGAGCAGAATGAGAAAATGGATGATATTTACCAAGCCTTACCAACCCTTACCAACCCCGAACCCACCATTTTTTCAGTCGACATGGCCACGCAACGGGTCCTGAGAAACCCAGTAGAGCTGCTCAACCACGCCAGCTACAGAGCCCGCACGGCCCTGGAAGATTGATTGATCCCGTCTTCGCAGTGCTTGATAGTGGCCTTTTTCGTTGATCATGGTTGATTCATCATCTCCATGAATGAGATAGAATGAGAAGTAATCAACAAGAAGCTGGGATTAAAACTAACTACAATGATATGATTTTTCCCCCAGCAATATGGTGATGTGCAATAGTTATTTAAGATTACCAAACACCAAACCTGAAACATCTGCAAGATCCTCAACCTCCACCCAGTCGATGCGGAAGTCTTCCGTAGTCCCATCACATCCTTTTAGGGCAGGAACGCGCCTTGATAATGGTGTAGTGGTCGTAAACCATCGCAACCTCAATTGCATCAGTATTTGAAACAGCAAAGCCACCCAAGTCCTCGGAAACCTCTGCTGAAACATGCTAAACTAGTTCCAATGTTGCTGTGGTTTGGGTTAAAGATTCAAAGATTGGAAAGTCAAAGCCAACTTGCAGATTCTCGGATTGAATATGTAACTCCTCTAAATTCCATGCACATTCCTTACTTTGTAAGCCGCTAGAATCCCGAAAGACCAAGGAGGATATGGCACGGGACGTGCACCATGCAGCTTGAAGCTTTCAGGTGTTTTATGTTCATTTGTTTTTTTGTATCAAGTGTATTTGGATTGTTTGAAGATATGTTCTGTTCATGATTGTTATTCTTGTTACAACATGTATTGTTGCTCATTGTTAGCACTATCACCAGTACAACCAGTTGTTAGTTCTTTAAACTGTTGTAATTGTCATCATCACCTCACTCATATCGTTATCGTTACTACATATTGTGAATGATGCTCACCCTTTACATACCAAAATCAAATATAATATATTTGAAGACACACACATATATATATATATATATATAATAAATCAAATTAGCATTGAGACCAAAAATGATATGGACAATTTGCCAACATAAACGCGGATAGCATCAACTAAATGGATCTAAATGGATTATGTACTGTAATCAAAAAAAAATCGATCGTTGAGTACCAAAAGCATCAGCAAATAGCACCTTTACACTCCAAGTAGCTCTAAATCAAGTGGGTGAAATGACCATGAAAATCCATAAACGTTCAACATTCTATTGTTTTTTTAGTAAAAATACCATCATTTTATGAACCTGCCGTCCCACTGGCGTCGGTCTTTTCGGGGCTGCACCAAGAGGTTCAGGGTGATGACCACGATGGACACGAAGAAGGATCCGTACCACACCTGCGAAGACGCTGGCGAATTTCAAGGTGATGATTCGATGATGGGGAAGAAGGGTGAATTTCCATGGTCAACTCCATGCATGCCCGAGGAAAAAAGATACAAATGAACTATGGACAAGACATGATATTGTAATGGTGTTCCAACTGCGTTCTTGTTTTGGTGTTGAAAAGTATCAAGTCTCAGTAACAGCTTCTTGGTTCCATCACATGGTCCCCATTGGCTGTCCCATCCGCTGAAATCCAAGTCCCAGACCAATGTCCCGAAGGGAGCGTAGCTGTACATCTCCTCCAGTTTCACTTCACCCATCAAGGCTCTCAGGGTGCTATTCACCGCCTGCAGACCCAAGGTGGAAACCAAGGCTCTTTACGTCTTACAGGAACGGTGCCCCTAGATAGGTAGCTTGGGTTATATCAGTTATATCTAGGATATGCGGGATTTATGTGTGCACATAATGTAAATATATATATATATATATCATGATATATGATACAATATATATATATATATCATGATATATGATACAACTATACGTCTGTGCATGGGGGTTAGATAATGTTAGATACCAGATTAAAACGGGGGCTTTCCTGTATCGAATTGGTGGTTTCAATCCTTCAGAAGATGAGTCATTGATAGTCATTACATATTGTTTCTATCGAATATGGTTGGACAAAAGCAAGGAACGTGTTAGGTAAATAATTGTCCAATTACTCTTCATGCATGGCTGATCATGGCTGGTAGTGGCTGGTAAACTACCAGCATCGGAAGGTGAAATGCTACATGTGGCACAACTGTTGGCAGCAGGGATCCAAAGCTGACTGGACTTTTGGTATATCAATACCTGCATGGCTCATCTCTGCGGTTCAATATTTTTCAACATCATTCAACATCCACAAGGACATGATACAGTGATACAAGACAATGTCTATAAACATAATCTATAAGTATGTCAGGAAGTCTGCTAATCATCCGGACATGACTCATCTAATTCCAAACATGAACACTCTCAGGTTTCAACATGGGACATCCACAGTTTTAAAACAACGGTGCGCCTTTCCGGGAGTTGACCATTCCTCCATGATCATTCCCCAAATCATAAATCCGCCAATGGCCTTGGTCCACACTTCAACTGCCACAGTTTCTGAACAAAGCCGTGGAACACTTCCGGTGAAGATCTGAGCGTCCGAGCGAAGCTAAGAAATAAGACCAGGAAGAGCAAGCAGAAATGGAGCAGGTCCTGGCCCAGGCACTTGAGAAAGGAGCAAGTCTTGGACTATTGTGGGATTCACTCAATGCCATAGTCACCTTCCCATTATATATATATAACCAACCATGGGGGTTCATGTGACATCATTCCTAGAGGTATACCCAAGATCATAAACATTCATTAATTTCATAAACCTCATTGGGAATGGATTACTATGAAGTTTACCACATCTCACCCACATCTCACAGTCCTCCGAGGCATGAGTGAAAGCTGACATCAACTGCGCCAACTTGGGCTGCCCCGCAAAGATCTGCGCAGACGTAACTGTGGAATCGATGGAGCACTTGAAAGTAGGGTGGTGCAAAACAAAGATATAGACATTCTACCTGGAACATCAGAGGGTTACAATTGGCACAGAACACCATTTAAGTTTCCACTGAAACCTCTACTGTACAGTCTCATAGATTTGTTTGTCCCCGCAGACTGGCGTGCTATGGTCATCCCAGCCTCCTTCGGGATTCCTTGCAATGGCTATATCAACCCTATTAACGGGGGAATGACCACGGCTCCATATTAATATGGATACATATATATATATATACATGCATATGTACATATACATATATACATATATAAATTATTTATCCATAATCCAATTTTTCACCACCAAGACTGAAGGCCTGCAGTCTAAGAGTATACCCAAGCACCCAACCGAAATGCCGTATACCTTCCTATAGCAACAACCAAAACAGATAGAAAAGTAATTGGTCATATCCTACCACAATAGTGATAGATTACAGTTCCCCTTTTGTTGTTTGGGGGGGTGCTATATTTTTATCATGACTCTATACATATGTGTATGTATATATATATCATATTATATATATATATCCCCATGTTTGATGGTTCAATCCCATGTTTTGCTTCAGAGACTAAAGGTCCATCCATATCCCCTTAGACTTCGAAACGCAAAGCCCACCTTCGAGAACTGGGTGGCAATGACTAAGGTGTACCAAAACCTCGGAAGAAAATGGTTGGACAATTAAGCATTCAGAAGGGACTTCATCATCGAACAATCATGGGAACAACTCGAATGAATTCAATTCTAGTTGATTCCAGCTAAACATATTAGAATAATTGGACCAATTATTCTAATATGTTTAAGGCTTCTCCGGGCTTTCTCTGGGTTTTCTCTGAAGAACCTAGCGCTGTTTCCATCGTCCACCAAGTGGTGGGGCGGAAACAAAGGGCACAGCTTTCAGAAGCCATTTGGAGGTTTCCAAAAATGGGGGGTAACCGAAATCATCCAGCCATTCTTAGATCAGTTTTGATCAGTTTTAAGTTGACCACTGGGGATTCCACATGACTTGTTAGAAACCACAACCACAAAAGGACCTCCAAAAGCAAGGGGCTGAGACCCCAAGTTCCCTCCCATGCAGGAAGCACAATGAAAAACATTGATGGCTCAATGATCTTGCGGCGAACAACATGAACATGGAAAATCTTGTGAAATCCCCCCATTTTTTCACAGGTGCATCTTCTTGGTCATATAGATCTTGATGATCTTGGGTGAAATGAGACACCGTACACAGCGGAAGCTGAGATGGAAACAATGCAACCCTGAAGTAGTCGAAGAAAAAGGCGGCCTTGGAATCTGCGGCGTCCCCTATCTCGATTTCAAGTCCAGAATCCGCGGGGTCTCCGGGTCTCTCCAACTCTTCGAGAGCATAGATGCTTCGAAAACCACTGGTTCCCCACCTGCCAGGTGAGGGTTGTTAGATTTTATGTCAGTTGCCTCCTCGTCCTCCTTCTCCTCCTCCTCCTCCTTCTCCTCCTCCTCCGCCTCCTCCTGCCTCGTCCTCCTCTCCTCCTCCTCCTCTCGTTGTCCTCCTCGTCCTCCTGCTCAACTGCGACTCGCGATCCACAGTGTTCGCTGTCGGACCTCAACCACGACCATCCACGCCCAGCGTTCCCTGCCGGACCTCAACCACGACCATCCACGCCCAGTGTTCCCTGCCGGACCTCAACCACGACCATACACGCCCAGTGTTCCCTGCCGGACCTCAACCACGACCATCCGCGCCAAGTGTTTCCTGCCGGACCTCAACCGCGAGTATCCATGCCAAGTGTTCCCTGCCGGACCTCATGTAGGAATGTCAGATAGACTGCCAGATAGAATGCCAGATAGAATGTCAGATAGGATGCCAGATAGAATGCCAGATAGAATGCCAGAAAGAATGCCAGAAAGAATGCCAGATAGAATGCCAGATAGAATGTCAGATAGGATGCCAGATAGAATGCCAGATAGAATGCCAGAAAGAATGCCAGAAAGAATGCCAATAGAATGCCAGATAGACTGCCAGATAGAATGTCAGATAGAATGTCAGAATATATGTCAGATATAATGCCAGATAGAATGCCAACATATATGCCAGAATATATGTCAGATAGAATGCCAAAATATATGTCAGATATAATGCCAGATAGAATGCCAGAATATATGCCAGAATATATGTCAGATAGAATGCCAGAATATATGTCAGAATAAATGACAGGTAGAATGCCAGAATATATGTCAGATGAAATGTCAGAAAATATGTCAGATAGAATGCCAGATAGACTGCCAGATAGAATGCCAGGTGGAATGTCAGGATATATGCCAGATATAATGCCAGAATATATGCCAGAATATATGTCAGATAGGATGTCAGAATATACTAAATATATGTCCAAATATACGTCCTGACATGTCATGGTGGGGATCACACGAAGTAGAGTAATTTTACTGTTTTTCTTAGTTTAGTGGTTAACCAGTGATACTTTGACCATATATTAACCATATATTAACCTGGTTTAAAGATTTTTTTTAGTGGTTTCACTGGCCAAATCTCTGACCACTATTCCTCCATTCCTTCAGAAAATCGACCCACCAAAAAAAAAGGTGTGGTAAACTCAATTCAAAAAACATCCCTTCTGAACCATCCATTGGGGCGTCATAAAAAAAAAATCATCCCATTGCTGACAGTATAGGCTGTATAGGCGAGCCACCAATCTGCATCTCGATTGGGGATGGTTCATTATACATCTCCCATTATCCCATTAAATCATACCCTCTGGTAATTTGACATAGACCCTGGCAAATAGGGGTTGGAAGATTAGTTTCCATTAAAAAATGGTGATTTTCAGGGTCTATGTATATATACCAGAGGGTAAATCACCATTAAATCACCATTAAATCACCAGTTTTCTATATTTGATGGGGTTAAATGGCTTAACCAAGGTTGGCCTCACCCTGGCTGAGCGCCAGACTTCATCCACCCGGTCCAGGATCAGCGTCCAGCTCCGCTCGTGGGTCTCCATCTGAGTGTTGGGTTGCGCAGCGATGAAAGTCAAAAACATGAAGTCATTCAGTAGTTAACATATCATATCATATATCATATATCATATATCATATATCATATATCATATATCATATATCATATCAATCTATCTAAATCTAAATTACATGTTCAAATTTATATCAGATAATGATATCTATAATCATGTAATCAGTAATTAGCATATCATATCATGATACGATATATATATATAACGTAAATCATCAGAACATCATGGTAACTGGAGGGATCATCCCAAGACGACCGTGAGGCTAGAGGCTAAAGCTACTTCCACACATATGGCACGCACGCGATTATCAACTATACATTATCTACCATTATAGTTATTTAAGCGTAAAACTCCTAGGCGGCACACAAGCAAGCAACTGCTAGGGCGCCGCGCTGTTTTACTTGAGCCAAAAGTAACATATTGAACTATGTGAAACCACGGGTCAAGCAGTGGGTAAAAGCATGACCTTTAAGTTTCCTAGTCCTGCTACGCCTGAGAAATGTTATGTACCAGAAGTGTATGTCCCATTCAACTCCCCCCTCATTTTGAGTGGCGAGCGGACAACACCCTGACAAGTCTAAGGTGTAGATTGTCGGACACTCAGTAGTTGAAGTAGTCGATCCCAAAGCATCGGTTGAATTACCTTTGTTAGTGCATCTGCTGATTGGTCTTCAGAGTTCACATGTTCTGGCTGCATGTGTCGCTCATTGATGAGCTCGGCAAGGCTAGCCAAATCAATGCAATGAGTGCGTGATGCATGTCGTAACTTAACCGAATACCCTGAGTGTAGGATGGACAAGGTTGCAGCGTTGTCCTCTTTGAGTCGCATTGTGATTTGACGACCAAGGAGCTGCCCGAGCAAATCAAGCAAAGGCTGTCCTTCGGAAAACACTGCTCCAGCCATTGAAATTATCTCTGCCTCTGTTGTCGAACGAGCGACTGACGTTTGGCGTCGCGAGTTCCATGCGATCGGCCAACGCGAAGCTCCAGAAGAGAGAAAAATCATCATGCCGGACGTTGATCGCGCAGTATGCACGCATGATGCGAGGTCAGCATCTGCATATACATGTAGCTCTGTGTCACTAAGCGTGCCAGCTTGACATATCATTTTATACTCCCTAGTCCAGTGCACGTATGCCACAAGGCGGTGGAGATAAACGTCTTCTGCTCGGCTCCATACTGTGATCCTGCTCGCCAGCCTGCCTACTGAAAAACTAATGTCTGGTCGACAAAGTCTTGCCAACCAGAGACCCTTCATCAGCACCTTTGATGCATGTGGTTTCATGGATCCTGGTTGCTCGTACAAAGCGTCAGCTAGCGTGCTATCATTGATGTGAGGAGTAGCAACCTTACGCAATGATTTCGGATCAACACCAGTGATTTCGAGATATAACTGCACGAATTGATCAGCATATCCAACCATGGACATAACTATGGTTTGTGGGGTTTCAAGTTCATGCAAACGACCCAAAATGAGCACTGCATTGTTTGGAAGCAAGGTTTGCGGATCCTCGATCTTGATGAGTTCAGAAAACCGCTGCCAAAACTTGGTATGCAGATGCGAAGCTCCTGATAGTGTCAGGTCATCGACATAAATGTTGAGAAGCATTCTGTGGCCATCAAGGTTAAACAGAAAGTTGCTAGGGAACCCCTGGATTTGTTGAGCTCCAATTCTGGAGATCCGGGTCTCCAAAAACTCTTGCCATAGGCGGCCAGCCTGCGGATGTCCGTATAAGGACTTTCGAAGCCTCACGGCAACTCTGCCATTGAATTTGGATTTCCACTGGCTCAGCCACAATTGTCGTGGCAAAATAACGAACGTGAGCTCATCTTCAGGAAGGTAGCTCTGCAAGAATGCTTGCACTGCGTCTGCAGTTGATGTAGCATGCCCTTCAAGGGCGCCCCACCATAGGCAAACATTCAGGGCTATCAGTGTAGTTGGTGATGTGGACACTTCAGTGAAGAGAACGATGTCCCCATTTTGTGTAAACACTTTGTCACCCCTGTATACAATTCTTCCCTTATATTTATGTTTGGATTCATCAAGTTCAGCGTGCTTGATACCGCACAAAACCAAAAGTTCAGCAATACGAACATTCTGACCTAAGGTTTTTGATTGGAATATCAACTGATCAAGATCACAAACTGTCGAATCATCCCATGTCTCGTTCGAGCGTAGTCCTTGGCACTCTTTCTCGATGGCTGCCAAAGCACGTGGATCTGTGCTCCACTGGCTACGATTGAGTGCCTTGGTCACTAAACCAAATGCCTGTACATCAGTTCCAAACTCATCACAGTGATCCTGTTCTTGGGCTGGCTGACAACCTAGAGCTGGGATGTGTGACGAATAGAACTGCTTAGGAAATAAGGCTTCGGCAACAAGGTTCACAAATGGGATGGTGTAAAATGCGGTTTTAGCAGCATTGCCTCCCTCACATGGCTCATGTTGCTCTGCTGTGTGGTTGCACTGCATTTCCGCAAACAACTCAACGATTCTACGATCATTGGTGGCCAACATCCATGGTTTCTTCAATAACTTGTTTTGTTTGCCCTTCAGCTGGAGCATACACCCATGAAACTGCACCATCATGAGCTGGTGCCGCCTGCAAAATTCGACGAGGTTTGGAAGTCGCCATCCTTTGCAGTAGGTCGGCCATTCCCAGACGAAGCGACCATTGTGACTGATCACATATTCCCCAACCTGTAAAGCTAAATCCACCATGTATGAGGAGTCCTCCTGTTTTTGGGTGAGATCATTCAGAAAGGATTCCCCAAGGCGGTGAATGTTGAGTTCTTGCAGGTTGGACCACGGGTCGCAAGGAAGTGAAATCCAAATGTCTGCGCCATGATGGGACTTCAACTGCTCGACAAGCTGAAGAACATGTTGGAAATTGCTAAGGTCTATGACATCCTTGGTCAACCGAACAACTTTGATATCGTATTGTGGTGTTATTTCCCCAATCAATGAGTCCCCACTGCAAGCATATTCATACAACACCCCAACCCCAGGGAGGTCAGTTGAAAGGCGTCTGATTCGGGATAGGCCTCCCCATACCTCGTGTGATTGCGAAGCGGCAATCATACCTTCGATTGGTGGGGCCTCCTCATCTGCCAAGATGCTAGGTTCGTACCCTGGCGACGGTGCTGCTTCGTCAGTATCTGGCGGCGGACATTCGGGAACAAGGTCATCTTCAAGCCTGGGTTCTGCCAAGTCGCGTGAAGCGAACGTTGGCGACCCAGACCCTTGACCATCGCGAATATCATCTGCAGATACAGGCCGAGGCTTTGCCTCAACCGGCACTGGCTTGTCTGCACGGATGAGGCGATTGAACCTATCCCTACACGCCTTGGAATGTCTCGAGGTGAGCATCTCACAACCTCTGCAGTCATCAGTGCCACCGTACTTGATGAGACGATCCAATGTGATGTACTCAGCGCGGGTCTTGGCTGGAAGCTCGATGGGTTCATCACTGAAGGGAATGCTGATGGGTGGAATCTTTGATGGATCTTCTGTGTTGAACTTAGTGAGCGATTCTCTGTGAGCAACTTTCAGTGGTAAAGTTAGATGATCATCAAAGACTACCTCTTCTTGTGGTACCGCAATCAGATTTTCAAAACCTTTGGCCTGAGTGCGAACTTTCTCATAATCCAAAATCAACACAACCCCCCTGTAACGACATCCATTCTCAAGACGCCATCCTGCAAAGATCCCCGGAACACAAGAACCAGAAAACTTGTGGAGCTTTGTGCGATCACTGACCCTGTAATAAACCAACTGACCCAACAACCAATGTGGCCCATCAAATCTTTGACCTGAAGCTGCCTCAAGGCGTGTCAAGTGTCTTTCCCCTTCGGGTGGTTCAACATCGGGCTGATTCCATCCTAATGCAAGCGAGACTGTGCAGTATTGCACGGTGATTGGCCACAAGGATGGATACGCAGCAAAGCCAGAAGACAAGTGAGTTGCTCTCACTGACTCCTGAAAAGTTCGAATGTCCCGTTCTAGCCGTGAGTTATGCGGCCAATACCTCTCGAGTGTTGGCTCATAGTATGCTCCAAGCTGTTCGGCTGCATACTGAAACTCTTTGGCTGCATCTGCTTTACAAACAAGAGTGTTGGCTGAAACACGCGGTCCAAGAAACTTCTTGATGTGAGAAACGATGAGATCCCCATCACGTGAAAACATGGGAATGCCCTGGAGAAAACCTGACCATTCATCGCGAATCATGAGAACATAGTGATCAGTTTTGGATTCAGCAGTCTTACTAACAACAATAAAGTCTACAGCAATCCTTTCCCCGAAAGCTTTCACAGGATCAAGGCCCCGATCAAGAAGTTCGTACTCTCGTTTCTTGGAAACACGTTTCTTGTAGCACTTAGCTATTTTACAATCCAAACATTGACTGCTCTTTGGAAAATGGGCCAACCGATGCTCAATAGATCGTGCGCGCTTTATCTCAGCTGTGATCCACTCTAACCCGCCTTCAGAGTCTGCATCTGATGCCGGCGCCCCAATTTTGGAGCCCTCTTTCGCCCCAATTTTGGAGCCCTCATCCGGCTCGAGCATTGAAACTGCTGAGTCGGGCGTGTCCGTTTTGGAGCCTTTGGCTTCGCCCGGCATCCCAGGAACAATCTTGATGTTTTCCCGGAAAATTGGCACATTTTCTTCAACACGGTGAGCCACTATGCGGTCCTCATGGGAACATGCTATCTGAAGAAGATCAACGCTATTCACAAAGAATGGCAGTTCACCAGGCAGCCAAATAAATGGTCGATTTTGTTGGTTGACTATTTCCCCGAGACTGCGAACCAATGGACAACCCTTTGGAAGAAGATATGCATTGGTATGACCAAATACATCACCCTCATATCCAATGGTCTGGTCCCCTCTTCTTGCACCTCCACCTGTGGCAAAGTCAATGGGAAACTCCGTGGTAGTGGTGTTGTCTTTGATCAACCCACTGGGAATTCCA